TTTAACGTTAATTATATCATATCATGACTAAAACTGTCATTATATATAAATAATTGATAAACGAACAGACATTATATCAAATCATGACTTATTCGTTTTTGTCATTATTTGATATAATGTTATCAACATTAAGCATTATATCATATCAAGAACTTCCGAAAAGTCATGATATGATATCATGACATTTTGACAAAATCATTATATCATATACATTTCGACAAAATCATTAATGATATCATAAGCATTTGTGTAAGTCCTGATTTGATATAATGCTAATGCATTACACTATAATATCAAATAATGACTTTTCAGTTGATTCATGATATGATATCATGTAAAAGAACTTTTTCATTATATCATATAATGAAACAGCACCGAAAAGTCATTATTTGATGTAATGCAATAGCGTAGTGCGCCATCTGTCCAAAAATCAATTAACCTTATAATAACTCAAACGTCTGGTAACTTAAAACCTCCGGTATCCCAGTTGATTTGGACCCCAGTAGATTTGGGCCTGCACCCATGGACCGTCAAGGCTACAAACAAATCTCTTCGATTACAATCGACTTCCTCCATTTTGCGCTTTCAGCAGCCAAGAATTCTGCTTGCATTCGATTTTTTTTAATTTATAAAAAGGGTGAATTATGGCGAGTGGTGAACGTTGCTGGGAAGAAGCAATAACTAGAGCTGTGCAAGGAGCTGTTGCATTGCATTTAATATCCATCCCCCTCTATGGATGTCAGTAAGATTTTAACCTCTAAGAAAAAAAGATCAAAATGTCGACACAAACCCCCTTCAGAAATTTGTAAATTTTCCCCTTACGCCTCAGAAAAATCGCATACATCAAAAAATGCCGACAGGCTTAACCCCTCAGAAACGACTTTGGGGTCACCCTGCGGAAAAATTCATCTATTGGGGGGAGGGGGGGGGGCTGGACATTAAAAGAGAATGCACCCAGAGGCCAGGAGCAATTCTCGCAGCCAGAATAGAGCTCGACTAGCACAAGTTTAAGTTGAAACGTTATAAACCAGGTTGTATGACCTATACATACTTAGTGTTTCAAATAAGTACTGAGGCATTAAGTTTACTCTTGAATATTTATCGATATCTTATTTTACATAAAGGCCGCAGAGATTTATACTCAGAATAGTATGGATTAGTACCATGAGCCGTATTCCTATAAATAACGGTGGTGGCAATCACATAATAAAACTAATAATAATAATAGCCGGCAAACTTTGCGAACGACTTGCCCCACTAAATATCGAGGGCAGTGTTGTTTGCTCTGGTTGTTTTCTGTTTATATCATGGTTGCCACCACGGATGTTTATAGCTCCTGTGCTATTCTGAGTATAATTTTCTGCGGCCTTTTATGTAAAATAAGATATTGATAAATATTCACAAAGGTAAAGCTTAATGCCTCAGTACTTATATGAAACCCTATGTAGGTGATACAGACCTGGTTTATAACGTTTGAACTTAATCTTGTGCTGGTCGCGCTCTACCCCGGCAGCGAGAATTGGTTTGGTGTGGACGCGGTCGCCACTCGCCATAATTCAGCCTTTTTAAATTAAAAAAATCGAATACAAGCAGGATTCTTAGCTGCTGAAAGCGCAAAACGGAGGAAGATCGATTGTAATCGAAGAGATTTGTTTGTAGCCTTTGGCCCATGAGTGCCGGCCCAAATCTACTAGTGGATATGGACCAGGAGTCCGAATCTACGGGGGTCCAATCAACTGGGATACCGGAGGTTTTAAGTTACCGGACGTTTGAGTTATTATAAGGTTAATTGATTTTTGGACAGTTTTAATTTTTGGACAGATGGCGCACTACGCTATTACATTATATCAAATAATGACTTTTCGGCGCTGTTTCATTATATGATATAATGAAAAAGTTCTTTTACATGATATCATATCATGAATCAACTGAAAAGTCATTATTTGATATCATAGTGTAACGCATTAGCATTATATCAAATCAGGACTTACACAAATGCTTATGATATCATATAATGATTTTGTTGAAATGTCATGATATGATATAATGATTTTGTCGAAATGTCTTGATATCATATCATGACTTTTCGGAAGTTCATGATATGATATAATGCTTAATGTTGATAACATTATATCAAATAATGACAAAAACGAATAAGTCATGATTTGATATAATGTCTGTTCGTTTATCAATTATTTATATATAATGACAGTTTTAGTCATGATATGATATAATTAACGTTAAATAATTTTTGGACACATGGCGTTCCATATTTTTCGTCGTATTTTCCAGTTGGGATTAACGCAAATTCGGGGCAGAAATGCAAAATTCGGCAAGAAAACTCGTATTTTAAAGATAGAAGCTTGAAAATAACAGTATTCATGTTATTTTTAACTGCTTCATTCAGCAAGACTACCAGAATGAGCATACGTCTCAAGGGGACGAAGTTATGTTCGGCGAAAGGTATGGCTATGTTTATAATTTGTTAGTAATATTGTGTAATTTGATCAAATACCAAGCTCGCTTGACTTTCAAAGCTCATAAGTCGCTACAATTTAGCCAATGACTAAAACTATCGTTATAAATTAGTGTATATTTTTATACTGAATCGAATGGTAGTATTTTCATTTACATAGCGTGCACTGAAACAAAGATATGAACGAATTACATCCGTAGAACGTGCACGTTCTACTCGTAATGGCCCCTGCTGAGAAGGAGAATTAATACGTGATGAACTTGAAAACATGATGCGGAAACTAAGGCCAAAATTAATAAGGGTGGAAACTCATTAAGTATAATTTCGTAGTTTAGGCCCGATACAGACTGGACGCGACCGGGCAACGCGAATTTTCAATTACCTTTAACTTTAATATTTTCTACGTTTTTCAAATATTCGGAACCACTTAAATTAAGCAATTTTAGCTATTTGGTCTGCATATCTTGTAAATTTTTATCCGTTGACGGTTTCATTTGTTTTTAAAAACTGATAATTCGCGTCGCGTTGTCGAATCGCGTTCGGTCTTGTATGGGCCTTAAATTGGCCTTTACGGTTTTTTCGCAGAAGTATGTCAATTTAAGTCAATTTTTTTTGAGACCTCTGTATGCGGTAATTACTGTATGTCTGGGCTAAGTTTATTTGGCAAATGCCATGGCAATCTTTAGTTGCCATCCTGGTGTTTTCCCAAAACAGAACGATTATGGCGCTACTGTTGTGTGGTTATCAAATAATAATAATTAATTTATTCAAACAAAGTCCCAATATTGGGACATAGAATACATGGGTAAATAACTAAATAAGTCGTTACGGTCTATAACAATAACATAGATATTAATATATATGAAAAAAGTTGATAAATGTATAAATACACATACATACACACGCACACGTGAGTAATTAGACCAGGCTATCAAAAGCAGCCAAAACGTCGAAACAATATTTGCCTACTAACTTCATTATTGACTTATCCTTCATAGCCATAATATATATAAATAGGTTTTCCGAAGTAAATAAGTTGAAAAACCTATTTATTTTATATAAATTATCAATGAATTTTGTCCTGAGGTCGATGAACTTCATGTTTGTACAAGACATTAAAAAGTGATGTTCATCTCCTACTTCATTTAACTCACAAAGTCTGCATAGTCTATCATTGTATGGGACATTGTTGTATCTACCAGTTTCAACAGTTAGCTTATGTGCTGATATTCTTAACTTTGTAACAGCTTGACGATATTTGAAATTACTAATTTCGTTTAAGTATTTTTCACATTCAAAGTGTTTTTTTATTTTTCTAAAAGTTCTTAGCTTGCCAGTATTTTCGACAGGTTGAAACTGCTCTGCCCAATACAATATAAACGCTTCTTTAAATCTATGTTTCACGTGATGGCAAACATTTCCTTTTTCTGTTTCAGATAATTCCGTCTGTAAGTTGGATAATTCAGTTTGTGAATCGCAATTTTCTCCCCCACATAGTTGCAGTGCATATTTGATAAAAATTGTTGACTTTAGGTTAAGTTCCATGCATACATTCGCTGCTTTTCCAACAAGCGTGTTTGATAACAATGAACTTTTTATTCGAAACCAATATTTTACAACCAGCTTAGCTATTTGAACGATCAAAGGCGTTCTTCCTAGCTCAGCATAAATAGCCATGTTTGTTGATTTTGAATGAACTCCTAAGACTCTTTTGCAGAATTTTAGATGAAGTTTTTCAATTGCACTATTGATTTGGAAAATTTTTTTCTTGAACATTTCGAAAGAGTTTATTCTGCCCAATAAATGCGGACCCCACACTTCGCAACCGTATAATAAGATTGGGGTAACTATCGAAGAAAATAGTTTTAACATTAGTTTTATTGGAACATTTTCGACATTTGAGAAACTTTTAAATATACTATGATAGGCATGTAATGCTTTTCCGTAGATTATCTTTTGTGCTCGCTTGAAAGTACCAGAAAAGTGAAGAGTAATACCCAGATAACAATATTCATCAACTTGTTCCAAAATATTTTTGCCGAATGTCCAGATTGATGTAGAATGCCTACGTTTTTGGGTTGGTGTTCCAAATACTAGAACTTTGGATTTTTTAAGATTAATGTTTAACTTCCACTTTTTGGTATAGTAAACAAGTTTTGTGAGGCAATTTTGTAACCCTGCCCTGGATTCGGATAATAAGACTAGGTCGTCTGCGTAAAGCAAACAGCTTAGATTTGTATCATTTAATTTTACTGGAGTGCATGACCTGTCAAATATATCAGGTAGATCATTAATGAATAGGTTGAATAAAGTAGGACTTAAGTTACAACCCTGTTTGACCCCTACATGTGACCTAAAGAAAGTTGTATACCCCTCTTCCAATTTTACCGAACAGTCATAGGAGGAATACATGCTTAACATTAAACGTATGAATCTTTTGCTGCAACCATTCAAGATCAATTTGAAGAAAAGACTTTCCCTCCATACACTATCGTAAGCTTTTTTGAAGTCAATAAAACAAGCAAAGATTGGTTTACGTTTTGATTTGTAATAATCTATTAGAGTTTTCAAAACTAATAGATGGTCGGCTGTCCTATAATTTTTTCTAAATCCGATTTGGCAATTACTCATAATGTTGTTTTCGTCTAGATATTTATTTAGTCGTTCATTCATGATTAATGTGAAAAATTTTCCCAAACAACTGCTTATGCATATTCCTCTATAATTATTCGGGTCGATATTACTTCCTGATTTATAAATGGGGACTATAAAACCTTTAGACCAAAGTGATGGGAAGTGTCCATTGGACAAGATTTTATTAAACAGTTTTTCAAAGTAGGATGGCATAACCTCAACTGCTAGTTTAATGATCTCATTGGACAACGAGTCATTGGCACTGGCTTTCTTGTTCTTTAATCTTTTTGATAATTTGTACACTTCTTCCAGTGATACTGGTCTGTCAAGAGTATCATTTGTACCTAATGCCCAGATATTAAAATCTTTTATGATTTGTGCTTCACTGCTTGCTACTTCAGTATTGATATTTATTTTGTTCAAGTTTTTGAAATAATCAAACCATTCAGATGGTAGAATTTCGTGTGAAGTTCTAGGTTTTTGAGCTTTTATGGAGTTAACGAGTTTCCAGAAATCTTTAGGATTGTTTTCTGATAATAATTCAATTTTATTTAGTATAGAATTATGAAATTGTCTTTTTTGTTTTTTAACTGTACGTTTATATTCCTTCTTTTTTGCAAAAAAGAGATGACGTAAGTAAATGTCGTTGGGAAATTTCGAGAGTAGACTACCTAAATTTCTCAAGTTCTTTTTCAGATTGTGACAATTTCCGTCATACCATTCCTGTCTCATTTTGGTATTACCTTTTTTGATCTTTTTCTTTTGCCTCTTAATGTTTAGAACTTTTTGTGAGGTATCGGACAAAATTTCTGAGAAATTAGCTACAAGTATATCTGTGTAGGTTGCTTCATCACTAGATACACCTTTATGTTGGAAAAATAGCGATTCTAATTTATTTTCTACTTCGTTCGAACTCATGCATTCTCTTAGAGCATCCTTTTGACTTTCATTCCAAATAAAAGATTTAATATGAGGGGTTAATTTGAAAGTATCACCTGAGTTTTGTGGATATTTAATCTGTAGTATAAAAGACAGACATGAATGATGAGAAAATTCAGTGATATCTTCAACATTAAAGCCTACAACAAATGAGAGCAAGCTGTGCGAGATAACAACATAGTCAACCACACTTGCCCCGTTGTAGGTCTGACAGGTAAATTGCCCAAGGAGATCACCGTTTGTTCTTCCATTTAAAACAGCCATACCATTGCCAATACATAGATCAATAAGGGATTTCCCATAAGCATTAACATGGTGATCTTTTGAATATCGCTGGTCTAATGATGGAGTGATATATTTATCATCTTCCAAGAACTTATTGTCAACAAAATCTTCTACAACACCTATTCTAGCATTAAAATCTCCACACAAAATGATATTGCCCTTGCTTGCAAACTTATAAATATTATTTTGGAGGTTTTCGAAATGATCAGTATTTAATCGTGATTCACGTGATGAATTCTGTGGTGGAATGTATACAGTGCAAATGAAAATATCATGTTTGAGATTAAAGAACGTTTTGTCCAATTTATACCAAACAAACTCTTCACTACTTTCCTTGTCTAAAAACTTTATCCCTTTTTTAAGAGTTGACTTAACAAGAATAGTTATACCACCAGAACTTCTACGCGAATTTTGAGAAACCGTTTTTCTACATTTTGAAAATGAATGAAAACCATCGATATTAATATTGCATTTTTCATGGGGCAACCACGTTTCAACTAAAGAGACTAAATCAAATTTATGTAGCTTTGAAATAAATTCTGAGTCATCGATTTTACTTAATAAACCTTCAATATTCCAACTTGCAAACTTTAGGAAATGCTTTGCCATCAGTTGAATAAGATAGCAAACCTAGTCTAGTATATGTATATGTATGCTAAATAAATCTATAATTATTGGTAAATTGAGGAGGAATAGTAACTTGTGGATACATTACCCGTTGGTATTGCATCCGCTGATGGTTCGTACTAATGTTGCTTTGAATTAACTGGTTCAATAAGTTTGATACCTGTTTAAGTTCATCCTGAATGCCAGTCATCGTTGGTAGAAATACTGCATTCTGTGTATCTTCCTGCGGACTCCTCCCCAACTCCTTATCGAAGTTTTGAACTTGACCTGCATTACTGTGGTGACTTCCCTCCTGGTTTTGATTGCTAGGTACACTCTTTTGTTGGGTGCTGGTGTTTTCCTTTCTGTTACCCCCGAAAATCTTACGCAACTCATTCTTGATGTTCTTTGCCAAAGCGGGGATACCAAATCTTCTATTCAAATGTTTGACATCAAAGTACAGTTTGCCATTACGTAGATTCCCATTATATACGTGGCTAACATTGGGGATATCTTTGATCTCCTCATCAAATGATCAATTGACTGTCAAATTGATTGATTACAATAATAATATATTGTTAACAGTTTTGTGTGGGTTGTATTGAGTAAACTGATCCATTTGTTTCCCCCTGACAAAAGGGAACAAACTTTAGTGATTAATGGCTTTTTAACGGCCGTATATTTATAGAGTGAAAGATTTATATATGCGCAAGTTAAAAATCTGGAATGAAAATATAGAAAATATTATTAGGAATTATAGGGAAATATTATATTATAGGAAGTATTATTAGGAATTATTTATTAGGAATTATGGGAAATATTATTAAGAATTCCAGAAAGTATTTGATTATAGGGAAATATTATTAAGAATTATAGGAAGTATTATTAGGAACTATTTTTTGTCTATAACCAATTATTAAAATTACATAAGAAATTTTAACTGTTGGAATCCAAGTCTCTTATATGTTTGCATTGTGAATATTAGCGATAAGTATATATTTGCAAGGTTAGATGGGTTTTTGTCGACGGAATTCGAATATTCGAACCGGCAAATTTATATACATTTTAGACCAATCGACTTAATCGACTGACCTGCGGCCCTGTGATTCCGGTGCAGCGCTCTAACCAATTGCGCTACAGAGGCCAGTTGCGAAGCTCTAACCACAAGTTCATGCATATATATACTGTAATGTAACAGCGCGTCGAACATTCGGCACGCGATGTCATGTCCAACAAATCTTTCCGAATAATTTTCAGACAATGTTCAAACAACGCTGGAATGGTTTGAAAACGGCACAGAAAAGTCACAATTAGCCGTTGCGTTCACACTTACGCAGGAGCGAAACTGTTTGAACGGCGTCACTTTTGCCGTGACAATTTGAGCACGATTTCTAAACGGAGCGAAATGACACGTACCGCTTGCAAACCTAAGCTTAATTTAGCTAGCATTGATTATACAATGTCAATGATTATACAGTACAGAGAATGTCTGTTTGATTTTATGTCTGATGAATTTTACTTTTGATTTTCTTTTTTCATTAGTTTCTAAAGAGCGTGACGAGTTTTGATTCTTTAAAAGCATTTCGTCATCAACATACATCTATACTGATTTACACATTTCATAAAATATACCCTAAGGTTTCGACTGTTGAGTTTCATTATTTTAACTTCAATCTCTATATATTCTATTCCTAATTATACCGAAATGTCATCTTGTTAAATTTCAAATGTTGTTAAATAATTAAATATACTATCCCCACCCTCGATTAGCTTTCGCTATTTGTGGGAATAGTATTTTCTTCATTTATGTATTTTCTTTTTAATAAATTGAATTGAAATGAATTGAGCATCTCAGCTCTCAAAACAATAAATTCGAATGCTTTTCGTTGAAATTTCTTTGCTCTATTTGAAATATTTTGGGGTTACATGAGTGCTAGTATTATTTCGAAAACTGTCTGTACCAGTGTAGGTAGTACCAATGTAGAAATGCTGTGCTGAGTGGTTATATTACTACCTTAAAAAATAAGCAGAGACTCGACGTTTCGAGCAAGGCCCTTTGTCAAGACTAACTCTTGACGAAGGGCCTTCGCTCGAAACGTCGAGTTTCTGCTTATTTTTTAAGCTAGTAATATAACCACTACAACATTTCTAGTATTATTTCGCTCGGGTTTCAGGTGCGCATGTGTTTAACATGCCTGATGGAGCATGCGTTGGCGTTGTGTATACCACTCGTTGTCCATGTGAACAAAGCGTGTTAATGGCGCGTTCAAAACCAGCTCGAAAACAGAGTCATAAACTTTTGTGGGGCATCAGTTTGTGCTAGCGCTACAAGGATAACGTAGCGCAAGGGAGAAATAAGGTGCATCATGGCCGACAGCGATCCGATATTACAACGAAATATGATGCGAGTCGCAACACCCGCGAAGGACAGTGAATTTTCTGTGGTATCGTACAATATTTTATGCGACGCTGTCTTCGAGAAGAATCCCGCGTTGTATTCCTATTTACCGCAAGAAATGAAGCGTCGTGGACCCACGCCAAAAGAATCTGTCAGGCATACACAATTATTAAAAGAGGTATGACTTAAAGGCAGTTATTTTGAAAATTATATGTAATTTAATATTCTTGTGTAGCTATAATCACCTGCTTTTTCGCTTGGATATGAATAGATTATAGCATAAGCACTCGTTACCTGGTATAAATACAGTATCGTTTGTCAACAATTTGCAGTTTTGTACAGCGAAAGTCCCGAAAGTCTTTCATCAATTAATGTAGTATTATTTATCATTTTTCATTTCTCCACAAAGATTTATCATTTTTCATTTCTCCACAAAGACTTCTCAAGAGCGACCAGAATTCTTAAGGCCCATTTCAATTCTACTCAAGAAAATTTTCCGCGGAAATTATTATTATTATTATTATTATTATTAATGTTAAACACTCCCAGAAGGGTTTTTCAGTGTTCAATACAGAAGTTATAAAAAGTAATTACTTAATTAAATTATATTCTAAAAACTATATAATATACTATTAACACCAAAATATATAATATCAAGCTAGTTATATTTAAGGTAAAATACTTATTAATACTATTTAATTTAAAATTTAGTCAGTAAAAGATGTAATTCAGTTCTATTCATCGAGAAATTGTTGAACCAAATAACTTCGTAGCCCGCTTTTAAAACGTTCCAAATTAAGATTATGGTCTTTTAGCCATTCTGGCAAACTGTTCCATAAACAAGAAGCTCGGTAGCGAAAAGAACGTTGTCCGGTCGCTGTTCTATATAAAGGTATTTCCAATAATTCGCAAGATCTTGTGTTCAAATTGTGTAATTGTGATCTTGTTTGGAACATACGACATAAATATGATGGGGCCATACCATTAACACACTTATAAGCCATTACTGTATCTCGGAATCGCAACATATAATTGACTGGTAACCAGTTAAGCTGTTTTAAAGATGGAGTGATATGGTCGAATTTTTTTGTGCCCGTGACAATACGTGCTGCGAAATTCTGAACTTTTTGCAATTTTGCAATGTTTTTCTTCGATGAATTAGACCATATGGTTGAACAGTAATAGAGTTTACTAAAAACCAACGCGTTTATTAAAAGAATTAACGTCTTCATATCAAAAAGGTGCCTTGCTCTATTAATTTGACACAGGCTACCGACACAAGAGGAAACCAGTTTTGTGACGTGTTCATCGTACGTCAAACCACTATCCAGTGTCACGCCTAGATCAGTGGCTGAGGTCACAGGAAACAGTTTTTTCCCCAATAGTAAAATATGGAAATCTGCCGGTATCTGTTTCAACATATAACGAGTTGCGAACACAAGTAATTTCGTCTTATTGGGATTAATAAGCAGACTATTTAGAGAACACCAAGAAACGACTCTCCGTAGATCTTCGTTAAGCTTAGCAGCCGCTGAGTTCACTTCATTGACGGAAAATGACAAAAGTAGCTTCGAGTCGTCGACGTAAGACTTCAAATTACCATTCTTTGGTACCATAGGTAAATCATTAATATATATGTTGAATAACATGGGACCGAGAATTGAGCCCTGCGGAACGCCATGATTGAGTGTGCGTGTTTCAGAGACAGTCGATCCAATGCGCACAACCTGCTGTCGTCCTGTCAAGTAACTCTTAAACCAACATAAAGCGTCATCGGACACTCCCAATACTTGGAGCTTTTTTAGAAGCAATACATGATCGATACTGTCAAATGCTTTAGAAAGGTCTAGTAGAATTACAGCTACGACCTCCTTGTCGTCCATAGACTTTAAGATCTTATCCGATATAAATAAATTCAATGTTTCAGTGGAGTGCAGCTTCCTGTTTCCACTTTGGTGTACGCTTAAGCATTTCTTCTGTTCCACATATGCGGTAAATTGTTCCAAAACTACACGCTCGCAGATCTTTGATGCAGCAAGTAGCAAGGAAATTGGCCGATTATTTTTAGCAATTTCGTGATCCCCTTCTTTTAATAGGGGAATAACTTCTGACAACTTCCAGGCGCTGGGAAACAAAGATTCTCTTAAAGAGCAGTTAACAATATCCGTAAGAGGTTGAAGAATGTATGGTAGGGCATCTTTGATCACTTTCACAGAAACTTTATCTGGTCCAGGGGACTTATTGGATGGAAAAGAACACACAATTTTACGAATCACGTCACAGGACACAGGGTGAAAATGAAACTTGTCAATTTCTGCACTAAATTTATGTGGTATCTCTGGATGAGTCGATGTAAGACCATATGAAGTAATCAACGCTTTGGATTCTTCGATTCTTCTGCCGCTTTTGCTCCGACTGAAGAAAAGTATTCATTAAATTTGTTCGCTACTTCAACGACATTCCCAGAATAAGTTAAACGTGTTTTTTCATTTCTAGGAATACATTCTCTTACAGTTTTCCAAAGGGAGTTGTTGTTGCTATTTTTGTCATTAATTCTTTTATACACAAATTTTCTCTCGGATTCTCTCAATTTTCTTTTAATTTGATTTCTACATGAACGATATCTGTCCCAGTCCAAGGCCTGCAGGGTTTGGCGGGCAAGTTTATGCAGCGCATTTCTTTTTTTCATAAGTTGAACAATTTCCTGGTCAACAAAAGGGCACAAGCGACGTTTAATCTTAACAGTCTTTATCGGGGCATGCATATCTAATACACTTAGAAATTTCTGATTAAAATTGTCCAGTCGCTGGTTAACGCCCTGGTCAATTGGATTTTCTTGCCAAATCAGCTGTTCTAGATCATTTTTAAACGCTTCAGAAGAATAATTCTTAAAACTTCTTATGACCATGTAATCAGGTAATTTCTTAGGCAATTTAAGCTTTAATATTGAATAAACCAGAAAGTGGTCACTGATGTGCGTTTCTTCAACTCCACTTTCCACTACCAAGCTTGTGTTAGATGTTAAAATCACATCGATGAGAGATGAGGACTGCAAAGTCACCCTAGTTGGTTCCTTGATAAGTTGGAATAAATTCAAGCTGCTGCACAATTCGTTCAACGCATCAGATTCTGGACCACTTTTTAATAAGTTACAATTTAGATCACCCACTACGAATATATCTTTTTTCAAAGTAAGTGCATATGAATAGTTGTCCATGAAATCGTCCACGAAACAGGAAACTGGACAGTCAGGAGGTCTATAAGCAACACATAGCACAATAGATTTCATTTTCTTATGTTGGATTAATATCCACAATTGATGAAAACCCATTGATGAAATTACAGATATATCCTTTATAATCTTTGTTTTCAGTGAGTTACGAGTAAAAACACAAACACCACCTCCACGTTTACCAAGGCGATCCAACCGCAACAGTCTGTAACCTTCAATTTCAACTTCTGAATTTTTTACTGTGGAATTAAGCCATGATTCCGATATCGTTAAAATGTCGTACTGATGTTCGCCATTAAGTTCCCTCAACTGGATCAAATTATCTCTATTTTTCAGAGATCTGACATTCAAATGAGCGAGCTTTAGTTTTGAATTTGAGTGATTATGATTATTCGCGTTCTTTGTTAGAGAAGGACAGTCAATGGTTTTCTTATAATTTTTAATTACAATGCAGTTCTCTGCGTTATGTTGCTTATTACAAAACATTCCAGTAGAATAAACACTCTTCAAATTTAATGTACGTGTCGTAATTCTGACAGGTATCTGTTTTTCTACATCAAAGGAGGAGGATAAAGGGAAGGTTGGGGTGTGGGGTGGTATGTTGGGATCCGAAAAGGAGCAAAATAACAAGGATTCACAGGAAAAGGAGAATAGCGAAAAGCAGGTAAAAATGGGGATTGGCCCATTGGATTATGGAAGGGTCGTTGCATGTTGTTATGCGATTGGCGTTTTTGATGTGGGAAAGCTTGGCCTATTGAATTATGGTGGGGTCCTTGCATGTTACTATGAGATTGATGTTTTTGGTGTAGGAAATCACACGCAGGACCTTTTTTACAGAAACCTCTTTTCTTCAGGAATGGACAAGGGGTTAAATGTTTTGGGTATTTGGATGGCGCTCGAATGGAATGATCGATAACGGGTCCAGAGGCGTTGCTATTAGTGCTATTTTGATGTGGGAAAGGCTGGCCCATTGAATTATGGTGGAGTCCTTGCATGTCACTATGAAATAGACGTTTTTGGTGTAAGAAATCACACACAGGACCTTTTTTACAGAACCCTCTTTTCTTCAGGAATGGACAAGGGGTTAAATGTTTTGAGTATTTGGATGGCGCTCGATTGGAATGATCAGTAACAGATCCAGGGGCGTTGCTATTAGTTTCGTCCATTGTTGGTTTGGTTTTACTGGTTTTATCTAGTTTGGTTGCTTCGACTGATTTGCGGTTGTCAACAACCTCAATGTCCGAAACGCTAGGTTGATCGCTTACAGAAACGCTAGGTTGATATTTTATTATAGTTACAGATTCATCGAGCGTACTAGATTCATTCAGTAAAAATGGTCCGCTGGTGTAGGAGGTATTTTTGTTAGGGTCGGTTGACTGATCTTTATCAATGGTCTCAGGATCATTAGAGATGGTAATTTTCATACTGTTTTGGGGATTGTTGAACATATAATTATTATTCATTACATTGAATATTGAACTCTCAAGGGACAGTAAGCTTGACGTGAGCAATGAATTTTCTTCGCTAAGTTTACAAATCGCGTCGTCTTGCTTGCGAATAACGGATTCAAAATCTTTTTGCTTAGATCGCATAAAGTTAACTTCCGATAACAGATTGCTTGTAATATCTACCAAACTTGCAAAATCCGCTTTCAGGTTCGCAAACTGCGACACAGATAGTTCATCAATACTGACACAAACATCCGGCACCGAAGGACAAATTACATCTGTAGCTTCGTGTGAAATGTTTACATTGCTCGGGCCCTGATCAATCAGACTTTCAAGCTTCGACTTTAGGTTTTCCTCGGCATTGTCACTCTGTATAATCAGCTTTTTTGAACGAGGACCATGCCATTTGATGACGAATTCCCCTTCTCCATCGCTTCTGAAAACTTTGACGTCTCCTCCAGGGGATTTCCACCTGCCTTTTATATTTAATGCTTCGTTGATAAAACACTTTAGGTCTTCAAAAGTTTTAAGCCATCGGTATGTTTCACCATCATATGTTAGACCACTGAGGTCGTTCATAGTTGATTGAACGACGTTATATTGTGAGTCTGTAAATATATTCACGTAATATATTGACGAGAGCTTATTTGGAAATTAAAACTATTAATAATTTTAACGTAACCAGTTTAAAATGGTTAAAATCAGATAAAATTTGTAAAATTTTGCAGAGCTTAAAATTTAGCACCCGCCATCTTTGATGTGATTGGCGACACAAATTTTACGTCGGAAAAAATTTTGAAGCTGAAAATTTTCCACTTTTAACAATGATCTATATATTTTCGGAAAATTTTCTGTCCGTGGAAAATTTCTTGAGTGAAAATGGGCTTTTACAGGTGCGACTACTGTTATCAGTATAAACAGACGCGCGAAAACATGAGATATTCTTCAATTTCGCAAGCCATTCAGGATTTATAATGACTCTGAGACATTGAAAGTTTCATGTAAGAAAGATTATTGTTGTACCGTTGTCAGGCTATCGTGGGCTCGCGTTTTCAAAATGCCCGCCGCGAAAGGAGTGTATATTTATAAAACAATCAATTTTATAGATAATTAATTTTACACCTTATTTACTTGACCTCCACTAGGAAGAACAATTTAGAACAGATAAAGCTTTCAAGTATAAATAAAGTGAATCTACTGGCTTTAGTTTTCCTTCTTTATAGTAACACTGGATCAATAAGAGATTATCCTTAATTATTGGACCTCTAGGTCTAGGAAGAATTACAGTTTAGAACTGATAGAGCAACCGGGTATAAATAAGTATAGTTTAGGTTTCCTCCTGTAGTAACACTAGATCAATAAGAGATGATCTTTACTGGACACACTAGGAAAAACAGTTTAGAACTGTAATAAGATCTTTGTACGTTTGCATGGCGATAAAACATATATTAGTTTTGTTCGTGGAAACACCACGTAAATTTATTACAAAATTCAAACACCACGTAAATTTATATTATTAGCACTGATGAAGATCCGGGCTTACCGGGATCGAAAGCTTTGCAGTGATAAATTTACGTGGTGTTTCCACAAACAAAACTATTATAAGTTTAGAACTGATAGAGCAATCTGGTATAAATAAAGTTAGTTTAGTTTAGGTTCCCTCCTGTTACTCTGGATCAAGAAGAGATGATCCTTACTGGACCTCTAGGGAGAACAGTTTAGAACTGATAGAGCTATCCAGTATAAATAAAGTTAGTTTAGTTTAGGTTTCCTCTTGTAGTAACACTGGATCAATAAGAGATGACCATTACTGGACCTCTAGGAAGAACAGTTTAGAACTGATAGAGCTATCCAGTATAAATAAAATTAGTTTAGTTTAGGTTTCCTCCTGTAGTAACACTGGATCAATAAGAGATTATCCTTACTGGACCTCTAGGAAGAACAGTTTAGAACTGATAGAGCTATCCAGTATAAATCGGTTAGTTTAGTTTGGGTCTCTTCCTGTAGTAACACTGGATCAATAAGAGATGATCCTTACTGGACCTCTTGGAAGAACAGTTTAGAACCGATATAGCTATCCAGTATAAATAAAGCTTAGCTTGGTTTATGTTCAATATTTAGTAAATATTTATAAATTTGATAAATTTCAGCTGCGTTGGTTGGATGCAGATGTTATCTGCCTTCAAGAGGTCGACCTATTTTATTTTCCTCACTTGGTGAAAGAACTGGCCACTTGTGGCTACGAAGGCATGTTTCAAGCTCACTCGCGTCCATGCGATGATGGCGTCGCAACGTTTTTCAAAACGGACAAATTTCAGTTGAAAGACTATGAGGTGTTTGGGTTTAATGAAATGCTCGGTGAAGTCATCCGGCTTGATCAATTTGAAAACAGAAACGAACATAATGAGCGACAAGGGCAATACACCGTCTTGCAAGATCTCAAGTCTGGAAAAGAAATTGTCGTAGGTAGGGATCGGAGTGATGTAATTTGATTGAAATATTAATTAAAGGACATTGGCAATAAAAAATTAATTTGTCTTATTCAAAAGAACTCTTAAAATTATATATTAAAGTGCTATGACATAAAATTTCTTATTTTGTTAAATGAAAGAACTCTTTAAGCTGTAGTGTAACTTATTTTTCAGTTTCTTGTTTTTATGGTTTGTTCACGAGATATTTCAATTTGTTTTATATGTAAATGAGTGTGAATATGTCCGCTAATTTATGACGTCACGTTGGTTGCAAGCTCAACTTACACTGTAAGGTCATAAGTGTATTAACTCTAAAAACTGAAGATATCAGTTCACGTTTTTCTCCAGTGTTTCATCACATTTACCAGTGAGTGAAGTTTGAAGTTATCATCTTGGATGATAGCAGTGATATTCAACCATTTTGAAGAGCTTGCAACCAACATGACGTCATAAATTAGCGGACATATTCACACTCATTTACATATCAAACAAATTCAAATATCTTGTGAACAAACCATAAAAAAGAAGAAACCGATAAATAAGTTACACTACAACTTAAAGAGTTCTTTCATTTAAGAACGTAAGAAATTTCATGTCGTATACACTTTAGACATTTAAACTCTATTACCGATTTGTCATATCTTGCTTGGTTCTCGAAATATTTAGACCGAAATTAATGAGCTGTCTGCTATCTTGGACTAATTCTTGACCTCATTAACTATGGTTTTGATGACGTCAGGAGTTGGGTTAACCACATAAAACTACTCGAAAATGACCGAGTAACAATCCAAAATTGTTTGAAATGTTTTTAATCATTTCTAAATTTCAGACAGCAACCAGAAACAAAGTTTTGGACCAATATAGATTGCTTACTCTTACGCTTACTCGAGCTGTCCTGTCGTGTTTTATATCTGATAAACCACTCCTGCTCGTATTTTAAACAGTACAAAAAAGACCCTGTAGGCATGAGTTCCACATAAATATATCATCAGGCAACATACACATGGTTACTTTAATTAATAACAAAAGGCTGGAAATGCCTTTTCGGGCTTGTAATTTTCAACATTTTTTCTTTAGTGAATGTCCACTTAATCTTCAATTTCTGGCGAGAACCTGACATGCATTCCATACAAGCGGCCATGTTCTTTCGACAACTATACAAAGTACTGCCTGAGTCAGCCAAGCACAGCACGGCTTGGATCGTTTGCGGCGATTTTAATATGAAACCAAGCTTTCCTGCTTATGAACTGGTCAAGAATGGACAGCTTTCAGAAAGCAGTGTCGAAAAACTGAGACCAGGAAAATATGCATACCCAAGTCTAACGGAAAATAAAGTGGTAAGTCTAAGACAATTAATTGAATTATGAAATGCCCTCATTATGGTGCTTCAAGAGAGTCTACTGCATGTCACACGCAAAAATCTCACATCTTGTAGCAAGTTTGTCTATACAAGCCGTCAACAAGTTGTGTTCGCACTGTTTGTCACAAATTGTCAACAAGTATATATGGAACAACTTGTTAACAGTTGTAACAACCTTGTTGATATTATCAGACTTGTTGCAAGGTTGTTCTATCAAGTTTGATACAGTCATGATACAGCAATATTGTTACAACCTTGTAACATTCTTGTGATATCACGAGACTGCATCAAACTTGTTGGAACAACCTTGTAACAAGTCTGATAATGCCATCAAGCCTGTACGTTAACAACTTGAAACAAGCTTGAAGGCACTATCAGACTTGTTATAAGGTTGTTCCAACAAGTCCGATACCGTCATGGTATAACAATATTGTTACAAACTTTTGTAGTAACCTTGTAACATTCTTGTTATATCATGACTATATCAAACTTGTTGGAATAACGTTGTAACAAGTCTGATAATGCCAACATCATAGAAATCTCACATCTTGTATAGCAAGTCTGCCAACAAGCCGTCAACAAGTTGTGTTCGTACTGCTTGTCCCAAGTTGTAAACACCGGTTTGGAACAAGCAGTTAAACAACTTGTAACAACCTTGTTGATATTATCGTACTTGTTGGAAGGTTGTTCCAACAAGTCCGATACAGTCATGATATAACAATTTGTTACAATCTCGTGTCGTGAACCTTGTAACATTCTTGTTATATCATGACTGTATCAGACTTGCAAGAACAACCTTGTAACAAGTCTGATATTAAATGCCATCAAGCTTGTTACAACAACTGGGTACAAGCAGTGCGAACACAGCTTGTTGACAGCTTGTGAACAGAGACGTAATAACTTGTTTGCAGACTTGCAACAACTTGTGGTTTTTACGTGTGTATATAGCTGTACAAAGGCCGAAATCCAAAATTAACAATTACTGTCCAAAACTACCACCTTAATTTGATGAGTAAAATCTAAGTGATAAATTTAGTACGGTACATTTGGACACATTGCAGCTTGATGGGTTACTATTTTGATAATGAATTCCTTTCTCCTTTATAGATGACAAACTCAGAGCGGAACGGTGTCGTCCATGAACAATTAAGGAAAAGCATCTCGCATCCGCTGAAATATTCAAATAGTGCTTACAAAGTTGTTTTGGTAAATTCCTGATGTTGTTTGGAAATATTGCATGATTGGACGACCTATCCCCAGAATCATAATATTTACTCATACACCATACATTGCATAGTCTGTAAAGCTATGACGGTCTGGAATAGATAGGATGGTCAGTACCCCCAAAAATGGCGGAAAAATTGACCGTGAGAATTGCTAATTAGCATTGATGCTGTATTAAATTGACGCCCATATTTATACGGCAATATAAGCAAAACTTACTGAACTTCAGACATCATTTTGTCTTTGGCACATCTAAAATATCTTTATTTTAGCATTATTTTACAGACAAAGTAATAAACATACTTTTTAAGTTTGTTCTCAAGATTCTCCTCTTAGCTTTTCTTTCTTTGAATTTTTAGGGTTCCGAACCGAAGTTCACTCACTATGAATTCAATGACATTTTCCAAGAGGTTTTTGGCTTCGATATGATGAAAGACACTCTGGATTACATCTGGTTCTCATCAGATTTACTGCAAGCTAATGCTGTTCTGGAAATGGTCGATGAAGAAATGATCAAACCTTTCCGTGCTTGTCCCAATAGATACTTCCCCTCAGATCATCTGGCTTTGAAAGCGTGCTTTCAATTTCACGATAACGACGATTCTGCTTATAGCAGTGAATGATGTTTTGTGAATTACGTTTGTAAATAGTTTTCAACTCAATTTTGGAATTGTAATATATTTTGTATATACTGTAGATAGGTTGAAAATTTTATATATACTGTATATATATATATATCTCATTTAATAATTATATGTCATATCTCAAACTCATGAGTAAATTAGCCAACCATATTGTACTTTGCTCACATGATAATATAGGCTATGGCATCATTTTGTACAACTTGATGGCAACTTTATGTTAGAAGCTGGTAACAGGCATTTTCTTATAGTTCAAGCCTTGGTGAACAAGACTGTGTGTGTTACCACTTCTGAATTTTGCTTTATAACCGAAAATTTGAGAGTTTTTAAATTTTGCCTATTAAATTACTATGATGGCAAAAAATGTAAAATTTCATATCCTCTTATACGAAAAATAAACTATAACCACTAGAAAGATCGCAAAAATTTATATATAAGACAACAGATGATTCCCCTTATTACGTTTTCGTAGCGCTTTGCATTGTGGTTATAGTGGTATCACTGATAAAGATAGCGGCCTCGAATGAAAATATTGAATGTTTTCGCGAATGTTTTGCTGTTGGCTATCGTGCACCTGACCCTAGCTTTTTTTAAAAGTTCTTGCACGGGTCAGGACAAAAAATAAGCCATCTTGAATATCAGTGATCCACTATAACCACAATGCAAAGCGCTACGAAAACGTAATAAGACTAATCATCTATTAATTTAAGCGAGTTCTACGTTTTTCGAATCCTATTTCGAGTTTTTAATACTAAAAAATATGGAAATGACTAAATTAATGCTAATAAGTGCCCATTTTGCCAACTTTAACCATCTTTAATTCAAAATCAGCTTGAAAAATCGCACTAGTCGCTTAATTGTCTTATATATAGTTTTTGCGTTCTTTCTAGTGGTATAGTTTATTTTTTGTATAAAAGAACTTGAGATTTCAGATTTTTCGCCATCATAGTAATTTAACAGGCAAAATTTAAAAATTCTCAAATTTTCGGCTATAAAGCAAAAATCAGAAGTGGCCCGCACACAGTCTTGTTCACCAAGGTTTAAACCATAAGAAAATGCCTGCTACCAGCTTCTAACATAAAGTTGCCATCAACTCTCTTTAGAGTTTACAGGCACTTTTTGCCACCTTGGCCGGCCGACTAATACCGGATACCTGGTGAAGTGTATTGATCCAGTCCTTGGACAGGATCAAAATCAATTCAGTCCTCAGGACTGGATCAAAATTAATTCATCTCCGTTTATGTAGTGATTTAATCGTATGAGATGTCATTTCAAATCCTCCAATTCGGACTGGGGTCATCCTCGTCCCCAGGACCTCTCGGGCGCGCGTCCTCCCTACGGCGCTGGGACACACGGAACCGGAAGAAAACCTGCTGTAGTTTCTAAAGCGCATTAGTCAAATATACCTTTCCCCTTTTAAGTGAAATTTTGATCTAGATAAGTCTGGACAAAAATTTCATCACGGCTTGAAAGAGCATCACAAAATTAGTAATATTCTGAATTTTCGTTGCGAAATGTTATAAAATGCGGATAATACAGCCTTGCGAAGTTTGCCGTTTTTCAGTCATTTTGTATTACAAGTGGAAAATTGATAATCAGTTTGATCAGTCTGATTATCAATTTCCCGTTTGTACGGCAAAATGACTGAAAAACGGCAAACTTCGCAAGGCTATATTATCCGCATTTTACAACATTTCGCAACGAAACTTCAGAATATTACTAATTTTGTGATGCTCTTTCAAGCTGTGATGAAATTTTTGTCCAGACTTGTCTAGATCAAAATTTCACTTAAAAGGGGAAAGGTCTATTGGTTTCGGCATGTATATATATCCAAATAACTCGGCCAAATCAACCGCGCGGACTTGAAATCTAATCCAGTGCTGTAGTTGGATTTGAAATATTACGTCCAGATTGATATTAAAACTTAAAGCATAGATATTTCTCACTCATTTCTGCAAAACATAGCCCCTCCTTGAATCTTATGATGAAGAGGAATAAATGTCATGCTGCCTCGTTCATTCAGACTGTAATATACTGGACAGACTTCCAGTGACCACAAAGTACTCTGGGTTTTTTGGCTCGGTAATAAGTGATAATTTTTTTCAAATCATAGCAAAATGAAACCAGAGTGCACTCAGGCCTGGTCTGCATACCTCACTGATACGAATTCAGTTCTTTCCAGCCCAGAAGCGAACAAAGTTTGGTATATTTCTCATGCAATTTCCACCCAAATTAACCGGCATTTGATTGATTGGTTTTTGACCTGAGGTCATGTATAGCTTCAAACATTTTCGTATTACACAGTGTGATAGTTTTAGCATATATCCTTATGACAGACAAATTATCTAATTCAACAGGACTAGGGTTGGGCGATATTAAAAAAATCATCTCACGATTATTGTCGAGGAAATTATCACGATATTCGATAATATCGCGATAAAAACAATGACCAATAAGCTTAAAAATAATCTTATTAAAAACAAGTAAAACAACAAATTAAAATAATTTAATATGAACGCTTTTTCTAGTCTAATATTTACTGTCCATAAACCCGAACTGTCTATGCAGTGTCTACTGTGTCTCTGCAGGCGCAAATGCCGTGGGCACACAGCGCAAGCAAAGCCTGCAATTTCATTGTTCAGCGGCTTACTAATTTCCAAGGCCGAAAGGCCGTATTAAATTCGTATTTAATTCAGGAAATAGTTTTAATTCTTTTAAAAAATATGTTTTCTAGAAATTGAAGGAATTTTTTAGGATTTTTATAAAAGCTATATACTACATCGAAGCAATATCACGATAGTCAACGAGCATGACCATAATTTCGACATATCGTCGCTCAAGTTTCTACCTTCGATACGATAATCGCGATTGAAAATATCGCGATAAATCAAAATATCGAAATATCGCCCAACCCTAAACAGGACTCGCCGATTCCTCCTCATGAAATAAGAAAAGCTTTAAGAAAAGCTTTTTTCCTACTATGTGTATTCAATCACATAATTTATAAATTTTGTAAATTTAAAAGTTCTTTCGATATTAATTCATAGATCAGTAAACTATTGTTGTAATATAATGCCAGTAACACAAGGTACTTTTTAATACTTTTAACTAAAGTTTGTAAATAATTTCGCAATTCGCTTTCATCGAGCGCGACGATTTTTATAATAAACCATTAATAATAAAAAAAAATAGATAGAGCAAATGGATGATTCAAGCTATGGACTAAATTTTGATCTGGGCAAGAAGAACAAAATCCATCACCACAGCTAGAAAGAGCATGTTAAAATTAGTAAAATTGCAAAGTTTGGGTGCGAAATGTTGTAAAATGCGGAAAATATAGCCCTGCCAAATTTGCAAATTTTGTATTAATTTGTATTACGCGCGGGAAAATGCACCACATTTTGGGCCGAAAGTTGCAAATTTCGCAGGGCTATATTGTCCTCATTTTACAACAATTCGCAACCAAACTTTGCAATTTTACTAATTTTAACATGCTCTTTCTAGCTGTGGTGATGGATTTTGTTCTTCTTGCCCAGATCAAAATTTAATCGATAGCTGGATCATCCATTATATCGCCACTGCTTGCTTATGAAAAAAAACAAACTACAGGCAACTCGCAGAAAAATATATATTATCATATAATAGAACAGAATCGTATATATAATAATATAATATATACAAAATTATTAAATACATATTTACATTTATTCCTGTATATGCTAAAAATCACAATACAATTCATTTAAAACGTGCAAAATTTAAAATAATACGTTCAGCCACTTTCGTGTTCTTCAAGAAACAAACACTTGTTTACATTCTCTTCTCATTTCCTCTATGTTAAAAAGTCACAATAAAATTCGTTTAAAACGTGTAAAATTTAAAATAATACGTTCAGGCACTTTCTGGTTTTTCAGGAAACTGAAAGCATGCTTTCAGTGATAAATGATCTGATGGAAACACGTGGTTAGGGCATGCGTGATGGGGCTTGATCAGATCTTCATTCACCATCTCTAGGGCGCCATTCACTTGCAAGCAATCCGACGAGTACCAAATGTAATCCAGCGTATCTCGCATAAACTCAGATCCAAGCATTTTAGGAAAGTCTTCGTTGCATTCGTAGTGGGTAAATGTAGGCTCGCTTCCCTGAAAGAAATGTAGAATAAATAAGATTAGAAAATGTCAAGGAAAAGACAGAGGAATTAAATCAGTTTTTTTCGGTGGTTTTATATGTGATAAAAAATCATGTTCATTTACATAAACTTTAGCTTTGATTTTCTCGGCTTAGACAACATTTATTTTTAATGTTTGTGATGTTACTCTGAGTGTGTATCCACACCGGGCAAGCTTGAAAAATATGCCTGGCCACGGTGGGAATCGAACCTACGACCTTTGGAATACTAGCCCAATGCTCTGCCAACTGAGCTACGCGGTCAGGTCGGTTCGAGTATGTGATATTTCGGAACAGAATCTAGTTCCTTCGATATCAATGTAATCTAATAATCATGATTTTTCTGTGTTGGTGTAATGTACTCGGGTGAATATGATGTTTGTGATGTTACTCTGAGTGTATATCCACACCGGGCGAGCTTGAAAAATATGCCTGGCCACGGTGGGAATCGAACCTACGACCTTTGGAATACTAGCCCAATGCTCTGCCAACTGAGCTACGTGGTCAGGTCGGTTCGAGTATGTGATCTGAGTACCTTATCTAGACTAAGAACTGAGTACCTTATCTAGACTAAGAACTCAGTTCTGAAATACCACATAGAGTCTATCGAGTATGTGATATTTCAGAATTCAGTTCTGAAATATCACCTACTCGAACCGTCCTGACCGCGTAGCTCAGTTGGCAGAGCATTGGGCTAGTATTCCAAAGGTCGTAGGTTCGATTCCCACCGTGGCCAGGCATATTTTTCAAACACTCAGAGTAACATCACAAACATATTCAACTGAGTACGCAACACCAACACATTTATTTTTAAAATTACTTCGCCAATGAACTCATCAAATGGGTCGTTTTTTAAGCCATTTAAAACACTCGCATCCCGTGCTTTATCAGATATATCCTGATATATCACATTCGAGCTGCGCTCTCGTGTTTTATATCTGATAAAGCACTCCTACTCGTGTTTTAAATAGTACATAAGCCAATTTATGGAATGGTATATGAGCAGGGTTTAATCCATGGTGACCAAACTGGTCGTCCAAAAAAAATACCGTGCGTGTGGAGCCTAATTTCGTCGACGCGGTAAGAGACACGTGGTGCATTAAATCGGTTGTCATATAATAATATGTTCATACAGAGTGCAATGGACCATTCCCCAATTTAACCAAAATTTTGATCTCAACAAGTCTAGACATAATTCCATCATAGCATGAAAGAGCATCACAAAATTGGTAATATCCCAAAGTTTCGTTGCGAAATGTTGTAAAATGCGGATAATATAGCCTTGCGAAGTTTGCCGTTTTTCAGTCATTTTAGATTACAAACGGGAAATGGTTACCACTTTTCCAAAATTTTGATACATACATACATACATACATCAACTTTATTTAAACACGGAAAATCATCAGTATAGTTATTTACAAAACTATTAAAATATTTTAAAAGGAGCAAAAAGAAATATAGATACTGTTCTACCTGATTGCCGTGTGGGAGTCAGATCGATTATTTATTAAGAAGGCTTCTAAACCTGTCTTAAATGCAGCGAGAGAGGTTACTGATCTAAGAGATTCTGGCAAGCCATTCCATAAAGAGGCTCCACTGTAACTGAAGGAGCGTTTCAAATAATCTGTGCGTGGTTTTGGGACATAAAGTTTACCATAAGAATCTCTCAGGTTATAAACACTCTCACTGGGAGAAAACATCTCTTGTAAATAGAAGGGTGTATGTTTATTAATAGTATTAAACATGAGGATTGCCTTTTGCTTTAATCGCTTAGTGGACAATGATTCCCAATTAAGTTCTTCAAGAAGAGAACTTGATGAAATATCATAAGATGAACGGGTAATAACACGGGCGGCCCTATTCTGTAATTTTTGTAATTTTTCGCTTTGCTTTTTACCTAGGCCATCCCAAACAGGGGCACAATAGGAAAAATAGGGCTCCACCAAACTTTGGTAAACTCGAATTGCAGTTTCTGTGGTAATAAAATCTCTCATTCGTTTGAAAGCGCCGATACCCGAAGAGACTTTTTTGGTGATATTATCAACATGATATTTCCAAGTCAAGTTCTCATCAATTGTTAAACCTAATGACTTAGACTTCAGCACTCTATTAATCTGTTTATTGTTAACACATACTTCCACATTCTGATTATCAAAGGTTGAAAGTCTTTGACGAGATCAAATAATCATAAATTCAGTCTTGGCAATATTTAAACTTAACTTATTTGCCTCTAGCCATGTGTTTAAATTGGCTATTTCAGCATTCATAAGATTTTCTAGCTCAGAAAGATTATTACTTTGCATGCTGATGTTCGTATCATCAGCATACATTCTAGGTAAACCCTCGTTCAAGCAGTTAGGCAAGTAATTGATATAGATCAAAAACAGAAGTGGGCCAATAATAGAGCCTTGTGGAACTCCATGGGAGATAGAACGACTACCAGAGAGTTTGCCATTTACGTAGCATTTCTGTTTTCGATTGTTTAAATAGGAATTAAACCACGATAGCGCATTGTCATCCACACCATAACACTTGAGTTTACGTATAAGAATTTCGTGATCAATTGTATCGAAAGCTTTCTTTAGGTCAATGAAGATCACTCCGTTAAGCAAACCCTTATCAATATTTACGCACCAGTTATTACTCGACTCTAATAAAGCTGTAACGGTACTATATGATGCTCGAAACCCTGACTGATAGTTCGACAGTAAGTTGTAACTTGTCAGATAGGAGTAAAATTGGTCATAAACGGTTCTACCAAAAACTTTGGCAACCGCCGATATAATTGAAATTGGACGATAATTACTTAGATCACATTTTTCGCCATTTTTGAATAACGGTAAGACTTTTGCCATTTTCCAATCAGTCGGATAAATCCCCATAGAAAGCGATCTATTAAAAATTCTGGTTAACGAGGGGGAAAGAATATCAGCGGCTATTTTCAATAATCTACCTGGGATTTTATCATGGCCGGTCGCTTTGTTAGCATTAATCGTTTTTAGCAAACAATTTACAGTGGACAAACCAATTTCCTCGAAAGAAAAAACACTATGTGTGGATTGAATATAAGAAACGGGATTAACATTCGAGCTAGGTATTTTGTTCGCAAGTTTCTCTCCTATCGAGGTGAAATATGAATTAAAGGCATCCGAAATTTCAGCCGCATTAGTGATTTCATTACCGTCAAGATTGACTTTCTTGACACTGGTTACATCACTCACTTTACGAGAGTTCAGATCGTTGACTAGCCTCCAAGTTTTCCTTGGATCTTTTCGTGCAGCCTCAATATTAGTGATAAAGTAGTTATGTTTAGCCTGCCTAATAGTGTTGTTAGTTTCATTTCGAGCTTTCTTATATTGTAACCAAATTTCATCGTCACGTGAAATATCGAATTGCCTTTTTAGATAATCTCTTTCGCGAATTTTCTGAACTACATGTGAAGTAATCCAGGGAGACTATCGTTTCCCTATACGTTTCTTTTTAAGTGGGGCATGTTTATCAATCACAGACATAAACAAATTCAACCATTCAGTCCACATATCATTAGGGTCGTTATGCAGACAAACCTGCTCCCAATTTAGATTATTTAAATCATTCAAATATGCATGTTCATTGAAGTTTCTGAAATTTCTCTTTTCAACAAAAGTATTTACCGGTGCCTTATGATATGTATATTTCCGAATAAGGTATACCAGAGAATGATCACTTATACCAGGAGAAAGAACACCGGAAGCTTTTACTTTATCAAGATTATTGGTAATACATAGATCGATTAATGTTTGTGAGGTATTAGTTATTCTTGTAGGTTCAGAAATTGTCTGTGAAAGATTGTAAATATCAAATATATTCAAAAGCTCAGACGTGTTGGAATTTGGTGTGTTTGACAATAGGTTACAATTCAAATCTCCAAGTAAATACAGTTCGGAATTCTCAGCATCTATCTTATCGATAATTTCCTCGAATGAAGTAAATAATTGTTGGGACGAGCTTGGAGGTCTATACCAAGTACCCACCAAAAACGGCTTTGAACGAGGATTAGAAATTTCGATTATTAGGATTTCAAGATCATTACATGCCAGATCTTCACGAATTCGAAAGTTTAGATTACTTCGTATATACATACAAACACCACCACCATTTCTACCATTAACCTTACGGTCTAGCCTAACAACATCATAGCCTGAAAGATGGATTTTAACTAGCCTAAACAAAAATTTCATCACAGCTTGGAAGAGTATCACAAAATTAGTAATATTCCAAAGTTTCGTTGCAAAATGTTGTAAAATGCGGATAATATAATATAGCCTTGCGAAGTTTGTAATTTTCAGTCATTTTGTATTACGCACAGAACTGGTAACCATTTCCCGTTTGTAATCTACATTAAATGACTGAAAATTGCAAACTTCGCAAGGCTATATATTATCCGCATTTTACAACATTTTGCAACGAAATATTATGTGGAATATTACTAATTTTGTGATGCTCTTTCAAGCTGTGGTGAAATTTTTGTCTAGACTTGTTGAGTTCAAAATTTTGGTTAATTGGGGAACTGCCCCTGGTTAAGTCTAAAAATGTATAAAATTGGCAGTGGAAAGAAATTTCCATGTACAAAAGCATTCAACAACATTCATTGCGTCTAGCAACCATTGATAGAGAACAAAACGAGCTAGTCTGTCTTTTCATATTACAAATATCGTCATGATTACAACCAGATGATCTTGATACGCGGAAAAGTACTGGCACTAGTTGTCAAATAGAAATCCATTTTATGATTAAAACAACTGAATATCTCCTGTAATATACTTTATTTCGATTCCATATTTTTGTCAGAGCTATAGTTCTCATAACCAAACATAATTACAAAATTTCAACTAGTTTCATAAAGAATAACGAAAGATATAATTGACTGAATACATCAAAATGGATTTCTATTAGGACAACCCTTTCTGAGCGCTGATTGGCTAAAATACGAACACGAGATCACCTGGAAAGATAGTGGGGCTTTTTCGGTGGCGCAGGCGTCAGAGCAAGCGCCTTTCACCTGTGAGATCGTGGGTTTGATTCTCGCTACGGATTCGTGTGAAAAGAGTGAGTCAACGCTCTGCCGAAAGTCGTGAGTTTTCTTCGGGTGCTCCGGTTTCCTCCCACAGGGAAAGTTGACAGGGTGGGTTAGGATAAACACAAAGTTGTTACAAAGACAGATAGTCCAGTACTCGACGTAATCAGTCACTGAAAAGCACTGAATAATGTATATTATTATATATATACACAAGGTCTGGATATGAGGTATTCTGCAATCTGATTGGTTCTCTACTAGCAGGATATTAGCTCATATCCTGCTAGTAGAGAAAAACAAAATGGCGGCCAAACTGAATTTACGATGTTTTGCAAACGAGAAAACGGCAAGTTGTCGCTTTTTATTGCCTTCACAGGATTAAAAACACAATGAAAAAACTCCCACAAATTGTTTTCAGGTTAGCAAATAAATTTTTAATATTTAAAATGGTTGAAAATATATATTTTTGAAAAAATAATCGGCCGAAAGAGCGAAGATAAAAACATAAACAAAATAGAAAAATATTGAAAATATTCGAAAAGCAAAGTCTGTGAATTCAGACCTTGTGTATATAATAATTAACGGTTATTCTACGAACTCGAGTCGAATATGAGCGATAGCCGATAAGCTCATATTCGACTTGAGTTCGTAGAATAACTGTTAAATAATAATAATATAATAACTTAAAATTACCAAAACACTTTTGTATGCGCTTTTTGAGCCCTTGAATGGATGCGTCAAACTTTTCTTGTGTTTTCGCAGAACAACACTGTCGTAGTTTACAATCTGCAAATTATAAAAGAAATATACATTAATCACATAATATTATAATTATGATACTCAATAAATTATATTGTACATAAAACCTGGCTTACCCCAACCCCACAAGCCAGGGTCTTTAAAGCAACGCCATGCGGAAGTAAAGACCCTGGTTTGCGAGGTTGGGCTTACCCTAGCGCGCAAACACAGTAGAATAGGGTAATCCTTCTGCTATAGGGTTATACTACCTCCATGTAAACATACTGAACCACAGACAGTTCATACTGTGCTGTTCTGTTTATGTGACGTTTGTTATTACAGTCGAACCTCCATTAAGCGGCCACTCTCTATTAAACGGCCACATATCGAAGTCCCGAAATTTTTGTAATACAAATACTATAAACTATCCCTCTATTAAACGGCCACCTCAATTAAGCGGCCGCGGCCACCCAAAGAGCGGTCCCAAATGATGTTTTATGTCAATTTTTACCTCTATTAAACGGCCGGCCTGCAGGATTTTCTTGGCGCAACACCTTGTCAAGAGAGCCGCAAATAAAAGTCGAGCTAATTTGCTTTTATATTTGTAAAATAATGCTTAAAAATTATATTTTAACACATACCACTTTACACCCAAAAAGCATTGTCAGTAGTAAAAGTGTCAGTGTTTGGCGGCCTGATATTTCTAAAGTCTACTCACTATTGCATTCTGTGATTTATAATTAAAAATAGACATTTGTCTACGCCCAGCGTCTATTATTTGCGTACCTCTATTTAGCGGCCACCTCTATTAAGCGGCCACAAAGCCAATCCCCGAGGGTGGCTGTTTAATAGAGGTTCGACTGTAATTACATGTATTAGCTTTGTTACTGATTGCAATCGATTTTATTGTTCAAAGTGAGATGCAGAGGCAACATTTTCCTTGCGATAGTAACTTCTAGTTATTCAAGTACAGTATGCAGAACAGGGTCTTAGCTAGGATTTTAGATCTTGGGCGTGTTTCTAAATTACCAGGGTGTGCCCATGTCAATTACCTTGAATGGCCAAATTCACGGTATTAGTTATGCTCGGCAACAACAGACAATAGGCCGGTTTACACGACAAGCGTTTTGGGCACGGCACCCCTGAAAATGGGCACCGTGCCAAAACCGCCACTTCGCTATTTACTCGTTTACACGACAACATTTTGTAAACACACTTTTATGATAGGCACCGTGCCCATCGGAAAACGGCACCTCTACTTTCCGTTTACGACGGTATATTTTAAAGAATAAATATGTCGGACAGAAATAGAATTATATATTTATATTTATTGGAACGAAGAAGAGTATTATATGAGCCGAAAACCGAGGGAAAAAACCAATTCAATACTAGAAAAGTACTTTAAGGCTCATATGGGCAAAATTTATCCCGGTTAGCGATCGGGGTTAGCGGAAAGTTATCTCGGTTAGCGGTTCGACAAGTTTACAAGCGAGATCTTGCCTTGGTATGAAAATAATATGAAAAGTTACACTGCGTTCATATGAGACAAAAAGTTTTCCCGTGTACCGAGATCTCGCTTGTTGACAAGCCAAATCTCGGTGACCAGAATAATGTTTTTCCCATATGCATGAACACAACTTTACCGCTTAGCGGGATACTGACTTTCTGTCGTATCAGCATCTTTTCAATTCAATTGATATTCAGTGCGTGCCCATCGGAAAACGGCACCTCTATTTTCCGTTTACGACTGTATATTTTAAAGAATAAATATGCCGGCCAGAAATAGAATTATATATTTATATTTATTGGAACGAAGAAGAATATTATATGAGCCGAAAATCGAGGGAAAAACCAATTCAACTAGGAAGTACTTCAAGGGCCAGTTCATATGGGCAAAAGTTATCCTGGTTAGTGAAAAAACTTTTCGAAAAGTTTACAAGCGAGATCTCGCCTTGGTATGAAAATAATATGAAAAGTTTGTTTACACTGCGTTCATATAATACAAAACGTTTTCCCGTGTATGTACCGAGATCTCGCTTGTCGAGTGATAACGTTTTTCCCATATGAACACAACTCTAGTTCCCGCTTGGCAGGATAGCTTTCTGTCGTGTCACTACTGACTTTTCAATTCAATTGATATTCTGCTATGTCACAGCCGGAAACTTTACCCGGTAAGCGGAATAACATTTCTCCATGCATGTGGACAGAACAAAAGTATATTTGGCCAGTCGAAAAGTTTTCTCGTCAACCGAAATAACCTTTGCCCATATGAACAGGCCCTTTAAGACGAAAGGAGTTGTTTTCTCGCATAAATGTTG